CAAATACATAATAACTGGTTGATTGTTATTAAGTTACCGTAAATGGTAAAATAGTAGCATGCACATTTCCAGAACCTATGGCTACACTGAATGCATCCTAGAGAAGCCTTCAGTTCTAACTAAACATGGAGATATGTAAAATCCTCCCTGTCTCAACAATGTCATTGCCCAGGCTCTTGAAAAACATACTGGTTCTTTGCTTTTGTGGATTGAAACTCCCTAGAGAATCTGATGAAATGGTTAAACCTATGTAGAATCTCTCCTGTGAAAACTCTGCAGATAAATTAAGAAGCTTCATGGCCTTCCTGAAGTCTCTCTATGGTCTCAGGGTTCTGTTCCCTGGGTTAAGAACCCTGCTCTAAGTCATTGTCTTTCTGGGGTTAGAACTTAAGGCACTGAGGGACGGCTTGGCCTCCATCCATGAACGGTGCATCTTCAGATTTGGGTTCAAGACTAGCAAATGTGTCCCTTCTTTCAGGTTAAGGGGTTAGTATTTGGGGGCTACTGAGCCTCACCCATATCTTATCCTAGTTGAAGATAGAGCAAAAGTAATTCCAGAACCAATGCCAAGGACACTTATGTCTGATGGCCCCCTGATGACACAAGAGGGAGAGCGTCCATGAAGCCCCCTCACTCCTGTGCCTCATGGACAGATGGGCAGGGGTGTCAGGCACAGCTTCTCTGCTGTGTATGTTAAGGAGCCCAAGAAGAAAATCAACACTCTTGAGGAATGCTTACAAGAATAATGTAAACAACTTCGTGTTTATAAATCCACGTTTTCTTGAGTGAGTTACCAAGGGTCCAGCAATTCTACCCAACTACAATGGATTCATAGCAACCCTCCACCTGTCTTCAGTGAAAAAGGACAGGTTTCATTTCTTCTTTGCAATTATATTCACAGCCAATTCTTAAATATTCAGATTTGCCATAATTATTAGCCATAATGATAAATGTATGAATCTAAAATTATTGAGGGCTTAGTTTGTCAGACAGATGTAGCTATTAACTGCAAAATACTACAGGAAATGTAAGTGTCACTTTAGGAGGACAAGGAGATTCTAAGGACGTGTGTTCTGGAGTCCGTGTAGCGCTGCCATTTACTACCATCTACTGACCATGTAACCTGGCGCAAGCCTCAACCTCAGCATCCTTGCATGTAAAACATGGATAAGATAGCACTCATCTCAGGCGGCGTTGTGTCAATAAATGAGATAATACACATAAAAAGCTTAGGTCTGGCACATGGGAAGAAATTTAAAAAGTGAGCTATTGTTAAAGTAAATACCCTATTCCTGATCATTTAGATTTATGTCCCTTTCTCCAAATATCCTTGATATTGTGGAATTTAATTCTTCATTAACGTAGAAACTGAAAGAATATCATTTTTATTGCTCTTTAAAAAAGAAGCATTTTGTGGATATTAATGAGTTCTTCAGACAAAATGTTATGTGCTGCAGGTGTTATTGTGATTCATTGGTGTGGCACACAGAGTGGACACATAACGTCACAGATTAAGGAAGAGTTCCCAGGTATGAAGATGAATAGAGAAATATTTCAAATACATGTCTTTTTTTAAATAGATATGTTTAAGATAATGTTTCTTAAGTCATGAAATAGGGAATGGAACTATAAAAGGTGGTTGAATTCTTCAGGAACCTTAAAAAAATAAAACAATAAAGGTTTCTCTGATTTTACTGCCAGAAGTAATATTGTTAAACTTTCCCATCTAATATGAAAGACTATTTACATCTAATTTCTTTTTTTTTTCCTTTTTGTCTTTTTTCGTGACCAGCAACAGATCGCAACCCTCGGTGTCGCGCCCGCAGCTCGCTCAGCCAGTGAGCGGCCGGTCTGTATGTGCGATCCGAACCCTCGGCGGGAGCACCACCGCACTCCCAAGCGGCGCACTGTAGCAGTACGCCACTGGGCCAGCCCAATTTACATCTAATTTCTGAAGTGATATGTTAATAAAAATTAAGTGACATAAAGTTAATAAACTTAATTAAAGACTCTTTCAAATGATCCTAGTGATCTCAGTTCCTGCAGAGCATCTGAGTCCAGCTCTAAAACCAACCTGTAGTTTGATCAGATACAGTCTTCACCTGCAGCAGACCATGGCCCACTAGCTGAGTTTCATTCGTGTCCCACAATCACTTTCCAAGGCCTTCACATTCTCATACATTTCTGATTCTGGGCTTCATGGCTTTCTGTCCACTGACTCTCTAGCATTTCAGTCCCTACATTCACTGACACTGCTGTGACACCTACTGTTCAACCCGGAACCTTGCACTGTGTTCCCCACACCCACCAGAACTAACACACCTGATGGCCTGATGGCATGCAAAATCTGACTGTCGCAGCCTTCTCCATTAGATGGCTACCCAGGATCCACTTCCTCCAAGAAGTTATTCTCACAGAGCTCAATCTGACTGTCCTGAATACTTCCTCCTGCCCAATTCATGCAACTATAAGAATATATGTGAGAATAATTGAGAGAATAAACCCAGGCATCTTTTCTTCCCCTTAAAAAATGTGAATTATTTTTTGGATGGAATTCCCAAATAAAAATTTCTCATGTCCGTGAGAACTTCTACTGGGCTAACCAAGAAACATGTGGCATGCTGGTGAATATTGATTAATTGACACAATTTTATTTTTTAGGGCTAATGTTCAACAGCCAGAAGCAAAGCAGTTTTTGGCATTAAGAATTTGACTCTGGAGCCAAAGTATTTAGTTACTAATCCTAGCTCTGTTACTTACCGCTGTGTTATTCTCTCCAAAACATAGTTGTCTCATCTGTTATGTTAAATGAAGGTAATAAAAAGCATCTACTTAATAGGATTATTTTGAGGATTAAATGAGATAATCCGTGTAAAGTACTTTTAAAAAGTCATGGTACGTATTGAGCTCTCAATAAATATTTGTTATTGTTTTTATTACCATCAATTCAACAGAAAAATACAACCAGTTGTCTCATGAAGTTTGAGTGCATCTCATACAATGAGGGTCACCAAATTATGAAAGTGTCGTTTGATCTTCATTTAAGCATGTGCCTCTCCTTCAGAAATTCTGAAATTGCATCTGGAGATTGACAGCATAAAAATACATCCTTGTTTCTTATCATACAGAACCCAAACAATTGGGCTTGCAAATACTCTTCCCTCATTTCTGCTCACAGGACAAGTGTGAAGTCACCCATTACCTCCTAGGGGCCAAATCCAATGGGTGCCAAAATTCCTCATCCCCCCTGGCCTGTCCTGTGTTATCCACTGTCGACCCTCTCTCTTCCTCATCCTTTTACTTCCCGAGCACACAATGTTGGTTTTCTTCCTGCTCAGAGGTGAGCATCTCCTCCCTGTCCTCAGATAGCACTGTCCCGGAGACCTGCCCGCCTTACTTCACACGCTTGCCCTGGGTGGTGCCATCTCTCCCAGGACTTCAACAAGCTGATGACTCCTTGACTCCACATCTGCCTTTTCTGCCACTGCTTGAGTCCAGCACCTCATTATTTCCAACCTGGCCTACGGAATTTGCTTCTTAAATAGTCCCCTGACTGCCATCTCTTCTCAATTTTAAAATTCCTCCTTCACACAGCCACCCAAATGACCTTCCTAAAGTATAAATCCGACTTTGTCATCCTCAAACTAAAATTCCTCAATGATTTCCTTTACCTTGCTAGATAAGACCCTAAAATCTTCGAGTAGACTACCCTTCTGCGCTTTAAGCAATGCCCCACATTCAGAAGGCACCCTGCAAGTTTTTGCTGCTCAGATTATATGCAATTTGAACAAAGAGCACAGTTCTCAATGTTTTCTCAGGACTCCACTGGCATTCAAATCACTTTCCATGATAAATTCTTAATTGTACTCTTAAAATTGTAGATCTCTAAGGTTCTTGCTATGCCATACTTGAAGGACAGAAAAGCCCTCCCAGAACATGCTTTGAAAAGGATCAAGTTCCCTGCATCTCTCAGGCCACAGTCTAAAGACCACTTAAGTGTCCAGACTTGGTGGGGCTCCTTGGTCCACATTCTTGTGAGGCTCCACCTCCAGGTGCTAAAATCTTTGAGTTCCTCACCTCCTTGACCATGTGAAGTATTTTCACATAATGTAGCTCAGATTTAGCAGAGCATTTAATACAAAATGTCCCTGCTTTCAGGTACATTTAGTACCTGATACCTCTTTAGTCTTCCACTGGTTCACACTAAGCACTTGGAGGAATGACTAGTATATGTTTTTAGCATTATTTTCTTGTTAGTGTTATAACAGCTGAATGTGCTAAAATCAAGGGTGGAGTTGGCTGTAACAGACAATTTAAGATATCTGCATCATCATAGTCATAGCAGCTGGACATTTGTTCTGCAGTAATCTTTGATGTATTAGATAGGATTACAAGTGAATTGGATTGGCTTCACCATTTTGGACCACATTTTGCTTTCTCCTGAGCCACAAGCTAGAGTCTACACAGATTGATTTAGGGCTCAGCAGCATAGCCAATAAAATATAATGAGAAAAAAAAGTCTGCCTTCTACAGTGAATTGACCAAAAAACCATCCCAGCATTAAACAAGTTGGCTGATATTTGGACATATCTATTTCAGACTGCTGTCTTGTAAACTTTCCTTTATAAAGAAAACCCTTGACATATAGTTGCTATTGTACACTTGTCAAATACAGGTAGGGTCCTGCAAAGAAGATAGAAAAACAATGCTATGAGCACATCTGCATTTTTTGAGGTAAAAAAGAATGCAACGTGCTAAGTGATCCACACTGCCTAAGTCAGAAGTCCAAAACCTGAAGAGAAAGTCCAGCAATCCAATTCCTATTTTATTTGAAGCCTTGTGTTTGTCAGAAGACATGTAACCCTTACAATTGAATCAAAAAAAAAATGTGTAAAGATATGATATACTGAAAAAATAGACAATTTGCCCAGCCAGCGTGAGTCCAGGAAGTGTGAGATTCCTCCTACAGATCACCAGCCCCATAGCCACCTGTCACTTACCCTATGACGATACAGGAGATGGCAGTTCCCAAGAAGGCATATGTTAAAATAGATCCTAAGTTTTGAAAAAAGTGTCTCTGGGGAGAAAAAAAAAATATTTCATAGAGTACATCAGCGTTTTTTTCCTAGTCTAACAGGAAATAAAAAAGTGTATGCATTTCACAGCCCTCCCTTCCCTCACTGTTAAGGCAGATTTTGTTTTTGGAGCTTCATTCCTGGCCTTATTGCAAATAGATTTAACTGATTTGCGTTGCAAAAGACAGGGGAAAATAGGAAAGGAACAGGAAAGAAAAACCCTCTGGAAGATGACAGGGTAGGGATGAGAGTGACAAGTGCCGGAACTGGTGGACCCGAGAGGGAGGGGACTGGGGCAGTGTCCAGGCAGAGCTCTGGGACAGTTAATAGAAGACACAGTTTTCAAGAAGTTTTGTTGTAAACGTAACCCCTTTTCATTTTCAAAAATACTATTCTAAGAGATTTAAGTTGCCTTTTGACTTTTATTGGATCTCTGACATCTCTGACGTCTACATATCAGAATGTGTTGAAACCAAACTTTAAAAAACTCCAACAATTTATTTTAACAAATCAGACACAAAATGATGCCTAGTATTGGGGCTGGGGATGAAGAATAATGGCCTGAATAAATCCAGCTTCTGAATCTTTGCAAATGTTGCTTAGGAACACTCCCTTCCAGTTCTTTAAGTGGGATCTGAGTAGCCCGAACTGACAGCAAGAGGGAGCCTGGAGCACACAGGAAAATCAGGCCTGTCATGAACCAGCTGCCGGCTGCTGGAGACGACAGGCCAGAGGGAGCAGAGCCCTAGGAACCTCCTGGGTTAGGGGTGGGCAGCAGAAAAGCAGCTGCATGGCCAGAGCCTCACTCCGCGGCACAGAGGACGCAGCGTTTAAACCGTTATGTGAATTACTAATTGACGAAATGGTCACAGTCAGGCTGTGCCTAAGCACCTGTTGTCAGGCAAGTGCATAGAAACTGCAAAACTGGACTTTCTATGAGCATCAATAGCATTCTTGAATTTTACCCTGATGGGTAAACCCAGTGTTAATTAACAAGCAAACTCTGGTTACAATCACCTGGATTAACACTGTCCAAGGGAAATATAATGTAAGCCACTTATATCATTTAAAAATTTTCTAGTAGCCACAGTAAAATAAGTTTAAAAGGTGAAATCAATTTTGATAATGTTTTGTTTAACCCAATATATCCAAGATGCTATCATTTCTACATAAAATCAATATAAAACATTATTGAGATATTTTACATTCATTTTCTTAAAAACAAAGTTTTAAATCTGATGTGTGTTTTACACTTTAAATGCATCTCCACTCAGACGAGCCACATTTCAAGGGTTCAATAGCTGCGAGTGGCTAACGGCTTGTGTACTGGACAGAGCAGGTTTAGGAGAATTCTAGAATTCTGAGCATGAGTCAGATTTGAATCTGTGTTACATAATCTAAGATAATGATATTCTTACCAAACAGGTAAGCCCACAACAGAACTGGTTTTTTATTTGTATTGGTAAAATTCTCTATTTAATGATAAAAGAAGAAAATTATCACTATATATTTACCTTCTTTAGACTATATCCTGCATGAAATATAATCGGTGGCAGTAAAACATTGAAGAAGATTTCTGGATCAAATGTCATCTGCCAGAAAGACAAAAGTATAGTTAGAAAGATGCTCCTCTGGGCCATTAAAAAGTGTGTTTTAAAAAAACAGTTCTAGTCACTTTTGCTGAGGTTGTATGAGGTACAGAACACATTATTAAATTAGTAGAGATGAAAATAGGAGAAAACACAATTTTAGAAACTCATAAATACAGTATAACTGTAAAGCAATATTTTAAATGTAAAACCTATATGCTTCCATCATCCTACAGCTAAAAACAACAAGAACAAACTCAATGAAATCTCTCTGGGAAAGAAAACCTTTTCTTTTATTTTGATTAGTTATTCACTCCTCATATTTTAAATGTTTTTTATTTTTTTCTGATCGAAGGAATTGGTAGTGCTCAATTGTTTTGGCTTTTGACGAAGATTTATTTAGTTTTCCCCAAATACTTTGGAAATTTGTTCTTCATTTTCCATATTTTATCCTGTACTAATGTTTATAATGTCTTCCAGACTCAGTGGAGATGAAAATAAAAATAAATTTTTCTAGTATTTGTTTACTGGTTTTTACTTAAATGTTAACATGATCTTGGCCAAAAACTAAGCATGAACACTTTAACTTGGTATGTGAAACGAGATGTAGCAATTCTTGAATCCAATATCTGCTGTTTGCTGCATAATCTGAAAATAAACTCATTTAATCTCTGGAATCTTCCAAGATTCATCATCTTATTTTCCTGCTTCTTTTCTAACAAAGGAGAAAACGAAGGCTTAGCGAGGTTTTGACTTGTCAAGTTCAGGAAGCTACTAAATGATGGGGTTGGGATTATAGTCCCAGGATTTTGTTTCCAAAGCTTGCCTAGGTGTCTTCTAGACTAACATGCTGCTGCCTAAGACACAGGGAAGGACTGCCTTCTATGCTACTGTCATAAATTGCTTCAGTTTTACTCTGCCCACACCGTGCTGTGTTTGAGGACATTTTTATTAGAATTGTAAACGAAGCAGGCTGCTCACTAACTGTGTGACTTTAGACAGTTCAGCTCAGTGTCATTTTCTAAAAATGAGTGCATTCTATCAAATTAGGAAAAAAATTCATTTGTTTGCAGAATAGTCACAAAGAACCTCTGTGTGCAGGCTCTGTCCTGGACATCCAGAGGCAGAGTGGCCAACACAACGACGTCCCTGCCCCTGAAGCTTCCCTGCTAGTCGCAAGGGCAGACTCGACTGACCCCCACGCTGGCCACTGACCATCCTGGGCTGCAGCTGCTCTGAAGGAAATCACCAGAGGGCTCGACTCAGCACAACAAAGAGACATTGGTAGGGGGTCAGAGAGGGCTCTCTGAGGAGGTGACATATGAGCTGAGATCCAAGAGCAGAAAAGGGCCACAACAGGAGATGAGGGGAGGGGTGAGAACTCCAGGCAGAGAGAATAACAAGTGCAAAGATCTGAGGAAAGAAACAGCTGCGTGGGTTTGAGAACCCCAAGGTCAGAGCGGCTGGGCAGAGCGACAAGAGGCCAGAGGGAGCACGAGGCTGCGGAGGGTGGTGGAGACTGGGCAGCACTTCTGCGAGAGTTCCGATGGGAAATCATTAGGCATGCACCTTACAGTCCCGATTTGGCTGCTTCTGACTTCTTTTCGTTTCCTAATCTTAAAAACATCTTTAAAGGGCACCCATTTTTCTTCAGTGAATAATGTCAAAAAGACTGCACTGATGTGGTTAAATTCCCAGGACCCTCAGTTCTCTAGGGATGGACTAAATGGCTGGTGTCATTGCTTACAAAGGTGTGTTGAATGTGATGGAGCTTATATTAAGAAATATTATCTTTTAATTCCATTTTTCCACAAACGTTTTGACGTCCTTTTGTATAATACCAAAGTATTACATTATTTATTTTCAGAAAATCAGGCTAATTCTACCAGGTTTTGTGTTTTATAATTTATTCTGGACTTTTAATATCTCTGACCTTTGGTCCTGAAATGTTGTAAAGTTATACTGGCTTTTGGAGAGAAGCATTAATGTTTTGACTTTATTTTTTAGCCCCCTAACCTCCGGCTTTTAATATATAAAAACTGAGGTTGTAAGTTAAGAGAAGAACAAATCATTTCAGCTCATGGTCTGCGTTCCTTCTGTTATGCAAGTTATCTGGAGTAGTGTCTAAGGGCAGGAACACTCAGAGCCATGAGTTCAAATCCAAAGCTCTTTGACTTGAGCAGCTATTTAACCTCCCTACACCTCAATTTCCCCATCTTTACAATGAACATAATGATGTGGTACTGAATTCTAAGGTGGGTATAAGGACTGAATTAATTAACATTTGTAAAGCTCTTGAAGCATTGTCTGACATCTAGTAAGCAGTTTATAATAAAGTATTTATCACTGAAGAAAATAAAACATGTGAATAGATATTTTCAAGTTATACTATTAGAAGAAACTGCCCTATTGTTGGGAAGACTACATAACCACATAAAATTTGAGTGAAGGTCTTAATTTTCTTTCTAAGCTTACTCTGTTTTCTAAGGTTATCAGAATCACCATTACTGGTCTATTTTTATGAGGCTTCTCTGAGAGTATCTCAATGGCATATTTGAGAGTTTTCAGCACAGAGATCATGCTTTGGAGTGGAAAAGGGATGAAGCCTGCAGCTGTGAGCATCTGAAAGAGAGAGACACAGTGGCACATCCTACTGGACAGAAAACTCCCTGCCTCAGCAGTTTTTCTGCAAAAATCGGGTTAATCACTCAACCAGAACATTTCAGTAATCAAAATGCCCCATTCCCTGAATGCAGGTTAACTAATGTGCTATTGAATTATATTTTCTGGAGCAGCCAGATGAAACTGGCAGGCTGAGAATGGCATGCAGCATACGAGGATTTATTTGTATATACAAAACAGATTTGTGTTCCTTTCAGACTTGCTGTAAGCTTAGGAACTGCTAAATCAGAGTTCTGGGAGTAACTCCAAACCCAGACGATTTCTCAGAAGTGGCTGGATCTGCTGCTGTACTAACCTCCAGATGGGAATTCCACATGTCATTTTCCTCAGACTTTGTGTTCAAATCCTGCCTTGGAGGTGAGGCTATTTTTAAGCCCAAAGAATTAAACATTTTTTTCATTATAGTATGAAGGGAAAAAAATCAAAGTGAGGGGTAAATGGGAAGATCAGAAATCTAAAGATGTTCCAGCTATAGCACTTTCATTAGTCATTTAACATAAAAATCTTACACACAAGCACTGTCCAATGAAATTTTTTGTGATGATCGAAATATTCTATAACTCTACTGAACAATGCAGTAGCCACTAACCACTTGAGATTTTGCACACTAGAACCACATGTAGCTAGTGCAACCGAGGGACTGAATTTTTAATTTTAACATCTGTGACTAGTGGCAATTGGACAGTACACTTACAGACTGTTACTAGAATTTAAAACTCTTACCATTAGATGTTCTATCATACTATTCAAGGTGTGGCTAGTTTGGAGCAATAGACCTGAGACTCTGAGATGGAAGCATTATGTATGTCTCATGAAAGCAGTAAGATTAAATATTAGGATTTGATTCTTAAAGATAATATGGGGAAGAGAAAAATGTTAATATGTTCATAAAGATACAGTAAGTTTTAAATATTATCTCATATACATACCAGTACTTTGCTAGAATGTCTCAGAAATATGTTTACAAAGATAATCAACTTGAAAACTTCCAAGAATAGAAAGGAAATGTATCAAGTTTAATTCCTAAGTTCATCAGAAGGTTATAGATACAAAATTCTGTTTGGGCCTGTGAGTCAATATGATTTATCTGGGAAGAAATATCATTGTTCTACTGAACTACTAAATAAATAAGCACTAAAATAACCGCCCTAGTGAGGGACTGTGATTTATATGGCACATTCCTTCCAAAGAGGTCTTTCTAAAACATTGTTTCATCAATTCTGACAACATTCCTGAGTGGTAGCTGGCAAATGCAATTATCTCCATTTTCCAAAGACAGGAGAAGAAATTAATGGCATGCCCAGTGTCAATCAATGTGACAGGGATACCACTGGGAATTAGATATATATGCATGGGCAAACTAAATGTGTGCTTTTCAAGGGAACTCCAGGCTGACGGAACTACTTAAAGCAAGATTTAGGAATGTTTAAGAGAAGTTGAGACTAAGAAGTAGGCTTTTGTTATTTTGGCAATTCCTTTGGAAAAGTGAAGGTGGTTAACATAATGTGTTCAATCATCTTCAACGCTTTATTCATTAAAAATTTAACAAGCCTCTTCTTGCTGCAAAGAACTTGAAGATATATGATAGTCTGATTTCAGGAAGGTTATAATCAAAGAAAAGAAGCCTCTGTACAATTGCAGTACTGTATAAGGCACTGGAATAAGGTGTCATTCAGAGTTCTCTAGGACAGAGATGCCACTCTGGGCTTGCTGACCCCACAGGAAGGCTTGATGTTGAAGCAGCATAACAGCTGGTTTTTGAAGGATGGGTGAGAATTTATCTGTCAGGCACCAGCATGCAGAATCATGCTCTTTTGCCCACCCTGGGGCAGTGGGCCAGGGTTCCCCAAGCTACAGAGGAAAATGGCAGCTTCCTGGAGTTTCAGTTATAGTTGGTAGCAAATAACTTAAAATACTTAAAATATTAAAATTAATGCAGATATATTAAAAAGTGAAATTCAAAATCTGCGTGCATTTTGAATGCAAATAGAAGACTTCAAAGAAAACTTGGCTAGGGGCAGGCAGCTTTGGGACACACCTAGGGACAGCTCAAGGGTGTGCATTTCCTTTCCGCTGCCTTAAGTTATGCTTTGGTTTGAGAAGAACTAGAGTGAGAGAAAGAAAAATAGAGTCAGAATACTTAATGAAAATACACCATTCACTAATGAGATGACTTGGGTTTGTTTACTGAACCTCTCTAAGCCTCAGTTTTTCATTTGTGCTATGAGCATGAAGATGCCTTCTTCGTAGGTTTGCTCTTAAGGATTAAATGTAGTAATGGATTTAAAGAGTTCTGCTTGGTACCTAATTCTTTTTTTCAA